TTAAAAAAAAAAGAAAGTACAAAAAAAAAAAAAAAAAAAAAAAAAAAAAGTGAAAGAGAATTCCCTCGTCCTAGAAATGCTAACAAGGAGACGATGACAAATCACAAAATGAAAATCATTCACGAGTCAAAAGTGGAATAGTATTGCAAAAAGTCTTATATTAAAAACATAACATATATAATATAAATATATGTACCTTGAGTCTGGAGAATATACTTTTTCTAGGTTCAAACAAATGTGTTTAAAAACTAATTCGGATGTGAACAAATCTAACCATTAAAAACTAATCCAACTTAAAAACAACAATTCCTATTGGTAAAGCAAAAATGCATTCTACTATATATAAGGGTTCCCTTAAACATTTTTTACTAAAATTAATTATTCTGAGGGTTTGATGTATAGTTTAAATTTTTTGAATGAGTCTCACCCCTTAACTTTGAATTTTAAGACCATTTTTAGCTTGTCCTATGAATTTTGACAATTCTCATTTACTCTTGAAATTTTAATTAAGCTCGCTTAATCCCATGTTACAATTTTTGTTAAAAAAAAAAAAAAAAGAATAATTAAAAACAAAGAATAAGGTATGTTTATCACTGCGTTTTAAGGAGAGTACTATGGCCCAATGGAGTGTACCCTATCTAGAGAATTACTGATGGAAAGGGTAAAGGTCAACATTTTGTATTAAATATTTTTAAATAATTTTTTTTTATACCTTCAAATAATGAATATGATGTAAAATATTTTGTTTTGTCCTCTTAAAAATTTTTTATTCTAAATTTTTTGCCCAATGTTTTAAGAGATCATTCCACACGACGTGTTAGTACTCGGATTGTTATCTCTTTTTCTTTAAAGGAGGAGGATGAATAACACCTGCAACAACTATCCTCATCTCCTTAACATGAAAATCATTCTCGTCCCTTCCTACCTCTCCCTCATAGTACTACTCCTTGTATTTACCCTTCGGATCACAGTTGTGCAGCCGCTTCCATACCCCGTCGAGGAGAACATAACCATTGATTGTGGCTCCGAAGGGAAAACAACGTCACACGCTATGCGGAGCTGGGACGGAGACAGGCAAGGTTCAAAATTTCTTCACTTATCAGAAGGCCACGAAAACGCATCAATCTCTGTACGAGCTGTCGAGAGGCCAGATGACCCTGTTCCTTACGAAACGGCACGGCTCTCTCGCTCAGAAATCAGATACACCATTCCCCTAATTCCTGGACCAAAGTTCATCCGGTTGTACTTCTTCGCATCTACATACGAAAATAATTACAACCGCTCCAAGGCCTTATTCTCCGTCAAAGCTGGTCGATACACCCTACTGAGAAACTTTAGCACTTCGCTTACTGCCGGAGGTTGTATCGATGCCTGCAGATCTCTACTACTCAGAATCTAACGTTAATAGTGGCATCGACTTTGTGGGACAGACCGGATCATACCGCTTGAGTAACACCGCTCTGGAGACTCTCTATCGAGTAAATGTTGGTGGAAAAGATCTCTCTCCAGCCGAAGACACCGGTTTCTTCCGTAAATGGGATGGCATGTCAACTGCAGATCTCTCATACATGATTAATCCTGGTGAAAGTGCTCTATTAACGAACAGCTCCATTAATATTGCAGAATATATTGCACCCGCAGCTGTTTATACAACCGCCCGCAGTATGGGGCCTTCAGATATCAAACACAATCTCACCTGGGAATTCCCCGTAGATTCTGAATTTAGCTACATGGTACGGCTACACTTTTGTGAGATTCAACTGGAGATTAACAAAACAGGTGATCAGGTTTTCTCAATTCTCATAGCAGAGCAAACGGCGGATGCTCAAGCCGACGTGATCAAGTGGAGTGGTGCTAAGTACACTCCATGTTTTCGGGACTTCGTCGTCAAAATGATTCGCAAACCAGGACAGAAGAACCTAACTCTTCGCCTCGATCTGCAAGCAATCTTCGATCATAGCATAAGTACCTATCCCAGTGCAATCTTGAATGGTATTGAGATCTTCAAATTGAGTGACAACAATGCCAATCTTGCTGGTCCAAATCCTGACCCAATCCTGCAATCCCCATCCGCAAGCCAACAACAGATGGAACCTGAAAAGAATCGAACATCAATCATCGCCATCATCTGCGGTACTGTAATTTCCGGTGTAATTCTACTTGTTGTTCTCGGATTCTTTATTCTCCGAAGAGCAAGAAAAGTCAAAGATTCAACCTCTAATGATGGAACTACTTGGTGGGGTCCTCTTTCGTTTACCACGATCAAGTCAAGCAAGACTCGAGGCTCATCATCTTTGCCATCCGATTTATGCCGTTACTTTTCATTGGCTGAGATTAAAGCCGCCACTAACAACTTCGAAGATATTTTCATAATCGGAGTGGGTGGGTTTGGAAACGTGTATAAAGGGTACATCGATAATGGGACCAATCCCGTCGCCATCAAACGACTAAAGTCCGAGTCATCCCAAGGGGCCCATGAGTTCAAGACCGAGATCGAGATGCTCTCTCATCTCCGTCACCGCCATCTCGTCTCTCTAATCGGCTACTGCAACGAGGACCGTGAGATGATCCTCGTCTACGACTACATGGCACGTGGCACTCTCCGATGCCATCTCTACAACACCGAAAACCCACCACTGACGTGGAAACAACGCCTCGAGATTTGCATCGGAGCCGCGCGCGGGCTGCACTATCTCCACACAGGCGCGAAGTACACGATCATTCACCGCGACGTGAAGACAACAAACATTTTACTGGATGAGAAATGGGTAGCCAAGGTCTCCGATTTTGGGCTTTCGAAAATGGGACCCACTACCATGTCTAAAGCCCACGTCAGCACAGTCGTCAAGGGCAGTATCGGGTATTTAGACCCAGAGTACTACAGACGTCAGCAACTGTCAGAAAAATCCGACGTGTACTCATTCGGCGTCGTTTTGTGCGAGGTTCTTTGCGGTAGGCCACCGATAATGCGCAACGCCGAGAAGAGACAAGTAAGCCTAGCCGAGTGGGCCCAACACTGTTACCGCAACGGGACACTTCATCAGATCATAGATCGTAATCTGACGAGCAAGATTGTGCCAGAGTGCTTGAAGAAATACAGTGAAATCGCGGTGAACTGTATGCATGATAATGGGATAGAGAGACCTTCAATGAACGACGTCGTGTGGGGCCTGGAATTTGCAATGCAATTACAGCAAAATGCAGAGGACAACGATAGGATTGGTGGGGCAATAATGGAGGCTAAGGGTGAGGACGAAGTTGCTTTCATGAATAATAACAACAGTGACGGAACGTTCACTTATACCTGGGAAGAGTCATTGGAGTTAAAAAGTAGTGTGATGACTAAAATTAGTAGCTCTGAGCAGGGATCCATTACGGTCGAGTCCATGAAAGAAATGTCTGGGGCTGTCTTCTCTGAGATCAAGGATCCAAAGGGAAGATGAGCCAAGTAGGATACTCATAAGTATATAAGTATTAACATAAGTTTTCAACTTGATCGCTTTGCACTTTAGAGCTTGGAAGAGATCATCAGAGGTCTACATGATAGAAAGTAGATGTATAATTCATGAATATTTACTATGTAATAAGTTAAGTTGTAAGATCTTGAAATATACGTTGCGTATTATATTATTTGTGTTGAATTAGACACGTACGTACATGAAATACATGCATGTGAGTTTTTTTTTTTTAACTATTCGGCCTTGCACCTTGCCTTTTTTTAGCATAGTCACGCATGTATGTTTGTTAGTTTGGTACTTAAATCGCAAAAGTAAGTTTTTTAATTTGGTTAAAGAAATCGCACGAATTTAAAGATGATATTCTTAAAGAGCAACAATTTACAGAAATACAAAATGTTATAAATATTGAGAACAGATTACTCCACGAGAAGTAATATATAAGCGTCCCAAAGTTTAAGCTTAAAAAGAGAATATTAAAGGCTATATATTACCTTTTTTTTTTTTCTTTTGGTGCGAAAAAGGCCATATATTATTAACTTTTTGTAAGTGGCCATATATTATTACTTGTCTTCCGGGGCATCTTCCTAATTTATTGCATGCCCGTAGACTAGTTGTAGTCTCAAAGTCAAGTCTTTGTCTTCTTTCGCAATAAAACAAATTTCAAAAAAAAAAAAAAGGTGGAATAGAATTCTACTCGTCCTAGAAATGCTACCAAAAAGATGAGGACAAATCACAAAGGAAAATTATTCACGAATCAAAAGTGGAATAGTATTGCAAAAACTTCTCATATTAAATTGGTCAACATCAATCACCTACCATTCGCTTTCGAAAGAGAATCTTTTAAAAAACGTAACATATATAATATAAATATATGTACCTTGAGTCTGGACAATATACTTTTTCTACGTTCAAACAAATGTGTTTAAAAAAATAATAATAAAGAGGATAAATGGTTGTTGGTTGCAAATGGGTCTTAAAATTTCAAGATAAACAATGATGTTGAAAGCATGTCTCATTGTAGACCAACTTGAACTAATTATTTCACGATTTTGTTTTTTCTTGTTTATATAAATAATGGATGGAGAATACCCAATCAAAATAGAGTAATTTGCCCCACCACCGGGCTTAAAATTACATATTTGCAGCAGCATTTTTAGGTGAGTGGATATACCAATCAGACAACCAACTTGAGAATGCCACTACCGCTGGGCCGCATTAAACTTTTCTTTTTCAAAGGAAAGAAAAAGGAAAGAAAAGCGATAATAATTAGGAAAAAAAAAAAAAAAAAAAAAAAAAAAAAAAAAAAAAAAAGAGGAGCTTAAGAAAGTTCGTAGTTATTCCCTATGTGTACAACATTTCTGGTTATCCCTTGAGTCTTGACTTTATTCGTAGTCATAAAAAGAAAAAGAAGATTTTTTTTCCCTATGTGTTCCCTCTATTATTATTGTTGTTGTTGTTAAGTTAAGCTCGGTATATTTTAAATTTATTTTTCTCTTTTATCTAATAAGTTTGAGTATGAAGTGTTCAGTAGAGGATGAAAAGTCTTAAAAGCTGCGTCAACATGGTACTTGGGATGCTTTTACAATCTTCCAGCATATTACAAGTTCTTTCTCATTATTATAACAATAAGTATGTTATACATTATATCATTGTTTTGGCTGAAAAATAAACTCTAAAAATGTTGTTTTTTGCTGGAAACAAGACTGCTAGTTTTTTTTTTTTTTTTTTTTTTGGATGCTAGTTAATAATAATATGGATTTATAAATAGCTCTAAATAAATAATTATTATTAGATTACGCATGGAAGGAGAACTTGAAGGACCCAAATTTCAGCCAGCGCAATACATAGATAAAATTTGTAATGGAACTCACTCAAGTATATTATTGGGCAGTAAATTCCATTAAAGCAGAGTGAAATGTTGGTTAGACTGCGTCCATGTCTCCAATTAAATTTTCCGCTTTCTTTTCTTTTCCTTTTTTTTTTCCTCTGGAAATTGATTAAGTTCAAAATTATTGATCGAAGAACGCAAGAGACATCTGTGTCTACTGTCTACATACCCCATTTCATTAATGATACGTCAGAAAGGGACTTATCCAGCCTCCCAGATAGTTGAAGTTGTAGATCCTTTTATCCCACTCAGACATTATTAATCGGACTAAATTTTCATGATGATCTCGCTATTGTGTCTTGATGGATTGGATGACGAAGAAATATCAACATCAGTAGCGGACTAAAAACGCTATTAATCACTAACAATAGCACTTTTTAGAGCATTAAGACAGCAAGCACTATAATAGGTCCTAAAAAAACATAACGTTTCAAGAGAGTTATAAAAAAACGCTATAGAATTAGAGTATTATAGCATTTAAAACAAGTTATTTTCATCCTCTTACAACTCTTTAGCATAATTACGATACAAATTAATAACTTTTTTTCCTTGTTATGTTCATACTGTTGTAACTTTTTAAAATTATTATTGATATCCTTTTAAATTCATTAAAATAAATAGTAATTCCAAAATATGTGATATATCTAAATAGAAACATTCAAATTAAAACATAAAAACATTCAACATATCAATTGTTATTAGTATCTACCAAGCTGGCAATAAAATTACGTCTACAACATAATTCATACAATGTCAAAAACCTTAACATTCAAAACAAGTAAAGAAAACAGAGAAGTCATCTCCAAAACGTCTAATTAGTGCAATGGTGAAGTAAATCCTTCCACCTTGACAAAATGCTTGAACAAAAAAGTCATCTCCACTCTATAAAAAAAAAAATAATTCATTATCAAAATAATAATCAAACTCAACTAAAACTTCCACTATTTAACCTATAAATAAAGCAAGGACTATGACTAGAAACTGAAAAAAAACAAAAAAACAAAAAAACAAAAAAAAACAAAAAAACAAAAAAAACAAAAAAAACGAGTAAAATGTACACTGTGAGCATACCTTGCGGGACTGCTTCTCGGGCTTGCTCAGTTTTCTGAAACTGCAAACATGACATCATTGCAATAGGAAGACAATGATACAGAAAAACTGGGTTGGGGGGCCTGGCCTAGGAGGGGGGCCT